GAATTCTTCAAAGCCGAAAGCTTTTGTACTTAGCAAATTTTTGCGAGAATTTCTCAAGCTCAGAAACAGTAAAACACTCAAAATAAGGCAAAGCAGTTGAAGAAAGGAACATTAGATTAATGATTCATGCTCAGAAAGTGAGCTATAAGTTCAAATAAATTAAAGACTATATCGGCTGCCGAAATATGTACAGAAATAAAAATAAATTGTTTGTACATCAAGGCAAGCTGAAGCAAAAAGATAAGGAAAAAAGAGATTCAGAAAGCGGCAAGTCTGAAATTAAGCGCATGTTGATCCGCAAGATTCTGAAGACGACTGCCCGATTTCCTATGCTTCAGTTGGAGGATCAGGCTGATCAGCCGGGCCAAGCCCCGGGGCAGTCTCGTATCCAGCAGCAGAGGAGGCAGGTTGGGCCCTTGCCTGAGCTTCAGCGGCTCGCTGTTCAGCCTCCAACTCTTGCCGCTCAGCTTCCTCCTCGGCTTGTTCAGCATGAAGGATCTCATGCTCAGCAGGAGTGGCATACAGCATGTGTAGATCTTCGGGGTCCTGAGCCCAAAGCGCGCACTTGGACTAATCCAACGAAGGCTCAGCATGGAGAGCCAACCTCCGAGCCACCTTAAACCCATTAATGTAGCCCATCTCATATTCTTCTTGGGTGTAAAGGCAGACTTGGAGTAGGGCTTCAGCATCAACCAACTTCTTTAGACTCTCCTCCAAATCCTTTTTAGATTTTTCTAACTCTTCTGAGAGTTTAGAGGAAGAAGTCTTCTGCTCATCAAGCTCCAGCTGGACATCGGAAGGTTCGGTTTTGGCTTGGATCAGCTCATCTCCCTTGACTCTCAGCTGATCTTCCAACTCCTTAAGAGCTTCCAGCTTCTGCTGCACTTCAGCTTGTGCAGCAGCTCCTTCTTGAATTCGGCTCTCGATGGCAGCTTTAAATTTGGAGATGTCCACTCCCATTTGCTCTTGAAGGAATTTCTCCCCTTCCATCAGCGGGGGAAAAACTTCCTTCTCCATAGCCGAGCAGAAGGTTTGAATGGCTTCAGCAGCCCTCTTTTCATACTCTTCGCTCTGCTGCTGCTTCTCTTCAGCAGCTTGCTTCTTCAGCTTAGCAAGCTTTGCCTCCTCCCGGGCAATTTTTGCCTCCTCCCAGGCATGCTCCAGCTTGTCTTGGAGGGTGTCAATCAACTCTACAGTAAGAGTCAGATTATGCACAACCTGTTTGTAGGGGCACATCAGTTGAAATAAATAAAGTAATAAAAAAGGGAAAGAGCTAGAAAGGAGGAGAAGAGCTGAGTGAAAGCAAAGCAACTAAAAAGTTAAGTACATGCATCAGCAAACGTTGGTTGTCTCTTGCGGGGTCAGGGACCCTTCGGCTGGATTCTCCTATCCCAGTCGTGGCCTTCAGCGACCACACCCTTGCTCGGTCCACTTCGGACATGTTAGTCAAGTCGCCGAAGTAGCCTGCAGCCCCTTCACGGTTCTGGCCCCAAATTCGTTCCTAAACAGGTTTTGGGACTGTGACACGGGGGGCCGAGAAACCCAAATCTCCAGAGTTCAGCGTCTGGAATGATGGGAAGGAAGAAGAGGGAACCTCCTGAATCTTCTCAGGCCCAGCATGACCTTCTCCTTTGGCGGAGCCCAGTTGGTCTCCATCGGGGTCAGCAACAACGACCTTCTCTGCTTCCTCCCCCAGATCAGGTTGACGAAGAAAAGCGTCAACCTCCCTATCAATATCATCTGAGAAGCCTTCAGCAATCGGCTTCTCAGAATCTTCAGCAGGGTGTCCCTGAAAGCCCCCTTCGGATCAGGAGTTCTTTGGTCCACCTCCATCTCTTGAGTTTCGGGAGGTGGGGGGGTTTGAGGACGCGGAGCTTCCGGCGGAGGGGGAGCCCTCGGCGAGCGTCTACCTTCATCAGGCTCCCATATGAGGATGCCCCCGGTAGGCCTCATCCCCATCTGAAACTGCCGAGGCCCTAGCACGGCCAACCTTCTCCTTCTCTTTGCTAAGGGCTGCTCGTCCATTTCTTCAGATTTTAACGTAGATGGATCTTCAGAACGAGCAGGCGCCTTTCCTTCTCTTCTTCCGCTCCCTTCCTCAAACTGCAGAAAGGGGGGACAGCAAAGTATGAGTAAAAAAAAAAACCAAACAAGTCAGGAACTTACTGGAACCCTCGGCTGAACTCCAGGTGCAGGGATATCCCCCTCAGCAGCACCAGACGTCCCAACACCTCCTTCGAAGGAGTTGATTACTAGGGACACGTCAGCTGCTGCCTGAGCAGCTTGTGCTTCCTCAGGTAATAAAGGCTGAAGGGATCTCGCTTCTCCCACCAAGGCTTCTGCTTGGTGTATTCGGCAACGGCTTCAATTTGAAGACCCGTTTCGTGCAGATGCAGCAGACGGTTCTTCGGACCTGTGATTGCCGGAGCCCAGTCTAGAATGACCCTTTCAGCGTTCACCCTGAGCCGGTTATAATCAATTCCCGAGGTAGCTTCGCTCAGCTCTGAAAAGAACAGACGAAGGTTAGACTAAGGGAATAAGCATCAAAGACAAATCAAAATTGACTAAGTTAAAGTCCTCGGCCCCAGCCGAACATACTTACCACCCCTGTACTTTCGGCTGAGGCCGACAACTGCCAACATATTCTCTTGGAAGATGTAATGGTTATCCGGAAGCCATCTGGCCGGGAGAGTTCTCATTCGGCCAACTCCCCCGGGGTTATTCTACTTCCCGAAGAAGCTCATTTGCTCAAAACTCGGGTGGCTAGTGGCATCAGGGTCCTCAGGACCCAAGTCTTGCATGTTCGGATCAGGTCTGGAGAGGTATCGGGGAGCCCCGAAAAAATATGGATGCTCCGGATCAGCGGGAACTCTCACCCAGACCCATTGACCCCTCCAATCCTTATCTGAGGAGTCGTTCGGCCACATAGTCAGATATTGGGGGCGACTCTCTATTCGCCACCAGCCTGAAGACCCGTGTTGGCCGTACACGCTCTAGAGGTTCTGCACTAGCTGATGCATCTTTCGGAAGCAGTGCAAATTCGGTTCAACAGCAAAAAACCGACACACCCAGAGATAAGTCATCACCCGCCGAATGTTAACGGGTGTTAATTGGCACAGGGAGATCCTGTACTTTATTAAAATGTCCCTGACGAAGGGATCCAAAGGAAACCGAAGCCCATATTGCAATTGCCGAGTGTACACCCCTACATACCCAGGAGGGGGACGGTGAATCCTGTCAGTCGGCAAGGGCATTCGGCACCAATGCCCATCCTCTTCAAAAATGTCGTAGTGCAACTCAATTTGCTCGGCGAATCGGTAGGTTTCGGCATGCCGAACCCACCATGAGTATGGGGTATTTCTCACCATGGCGTCCTGGGCCTCGGCATCCTGCCATTCAGCATGCCCAGTAAGCAGGTCCTAGAGCACAGGGGGCAAATCTTCAGCCTGCCCAGCCTGTTCTCTCTGCTCAGGTTGCTCCGCCTCGCCGGCCTCGGCATCCTGCTGAGGCGGCGCGGCGTTTAAAGGAACTGTCGGAATCCCCCTTTCCGGGTCTTCACCGGCTCGTTCCCCGTTCCAAACGTCGGCGCGGTCGCGGGGATCCCTAGCCTGACCCCGTCGACCCGGCTGACTCCTCCTTTATCGAGCCATAATCAAATTCAGAGAAGGAAAGAAGGGAGAAGAAGAATTTCCCTAAAAAAGGGCAAGAAATTCGAAAAAGCTCGGAGAAAATTACCTTCAAATTGGCCGGAATACGCCGGTCAAATCAGTGGAAGCGATGGATTTGAGTCTCGAACTTGGATTCGAAAATGGTACGCTGGAAGTTTAGAGCGAAAATGGGTTTGCGCGAGAATTTGAGTGTAAGTTGGTGAAGAAATGAGGTTGAAATGCGAATCAGACCTTATAATTGCAAGAAGGAGAATCCCAAAGGTCGAAAAGTTCAAATTTATCTTAAATGCCTCCTTAATTAACCGTTAAACACTCTCTCTCTCGATTAACCGCCCACTATCCACTCCACTTCCTGTTAATTATCCACATTACAGTTATTTAATTAATAACTGTTTAAAAATTTAAATCTTTTGATTTAATTAAATCATTTACTTCCCTCCATTTCTTATTGGATTCAAACCCAACCCGTCATCCTTCCAAATCGGGTCTGGGGGGCAAGTTGTTTGGGTCCAATTTATCTAATTGGGCCTAGTCATGTATTTGGGTCCAATTATCTTATTGGGCCTGGTCACTAAATGACTTCATATTCCAAGGTCAAGGCCCGAGCCTCCAATCAAGTCAAGTCAACCAAGAGTCCTTTGGTCCGAATTGCCATGGTCAGCCTATGACTATTTAAAGGCCCAATTGCTCTCCTCTCATCATGTGCAAAGGTATAAAAGTCTTCAATTCATTCATTCATGGACAACACAACAAAGCCTCAAGCATTAAATCTCTTGCATAGCTTTTTCTCTCTAAACACTGTTTGACTTCGGCATCGGAGGGGTCTTCCTCGGATCCACCCCCGAGGCCAGTTTACGTGTTTTAGTTGTGCAGGAAACCTTCGGCCCAACATCAACTGGACCGGACCAGTCTTCAGCCACTTCAACGGGCCTTCGACAAGGCCGCATTGTTTTCATCCGAAACAGTACGTATGGAGTAACTATAATTAATTTTGAAATATTCTCCGTTATTTTCATTTCAACCAATTGACAAAGAGCCTTTTATATACTGAGATTATAAAAAACTTAACAATGAAACTCATCAGATTTTGCATTGATTACAAGTGTCTTATTAATGGCTATTTGTATTTGTTTGCTTACAATTTGTTATTTCTTGTAAGAAATATAGTCGTAGATTTATCTTTAAAGTCTTTTATTGTAATTCATGCATTTTCCACCCTCAAGTCCTCAACGAAGCAAACAACATATCTCCCATTGTCCCAATTGCTTGCTTTGGATGACATATTATTAGACTAACCTTAAATGCACGTAAATTGTAGATATACAAAAAAAAATGGCATCAGGCACCGAGGAAGTAGCTCATGTGGAGTTGAGCAGCCAAGAGAAAGCGGAGTTGGATGAGATGGCCAAGGACGCCAAGAACTTGTGTGTCTCCATGGAAATAGTGAATAAGTCCCGTGCCATAATTGGTAAATATAAAGATGAAAACATAACCGAGGTTAAGGGTATAATAACTCCTTATATCATGTTAGGAGGCGTACTAAAGAGTCAAACAAAAGGACCGTTGACTCTTTTTGATTCCAAGCTATGGGCAGGGAACACTGTCGGAGACTATCCAAATCCTCTTAATAGTATTGGTGGCTTTGCACAAGTTTGCTCAACCTATGACGGCATTAAGGCGGCGGTGTTTTATACTGGGAAGAATAGTCATGGTGTTGAATGTGGATGGCTTCTTGCTTGGGCCGACTCTAATAATACAGGGAGAAAGGTAATAAGTACACAATAAATTACAGGTTACATTCGATCAATTTTGAGATACAAAAATATATACTTTGTTTTCTATTGATGTACTCACTTTTTAATTTTTTGTCATTGGTCCGTGAATGGGGCAGATTTACGCGGAGTGTAGCCGTAAAAGCAAATTCAATTGCATCGACTGGGGACAGATTGATAATCGACTGAAAAATTCAGGGATAGTGCCAGTTACAAGGGCCTCGGACAGCGAAACTGGAACCTCGCTGTATGCTATGCTCTATGGCGTGGATTTGCTGTTTGAGACTTCAGATACTCTTACTGCAGTCTTCTGTGGCTAAAAAAACTACCTCCTATGAACAGCATAATATGCAGTTGATCCGGACTGTAGATCACTCTGCCTATTACTCTGTTTTTCTATTATATGGTTTTATTTATTTCATGTCAAGTTATGAGGGGCATTATTATGGTCCTGTTGTAAGAAATTGCAAGCGTATATCTTCTACATACTTGGAATTCCTTGGTTTTTATAACCTTAATAAAAAAAAAAAAAAAAAGCCCCCTCTCTTTGTTTTCATACATGATGCTCATTTCTTTTGGTTGATTAGTTATGAGCTATTACAAAATTATAATTTATTGAAATGGGAAATGTAAACTAATAATCCCACCTTTGTCACTTTTGTTCAAAACAATCCTACCTTTTTGAATTCCCAAAATAATACCACCTTTGACCCTCATCTTCTTAAAACAGGCCTTATGACCCACAACTTGTTCAACAAGTTAACTTTTTTTTTTTCAATCTCTGATCTTCAACCTTAGCTTCCCACCATAACCACCACCACCCTTCCAAAAGAACCACCACATCACCACCTAACCCACCACCTTCTTTCTCTCTCCTAACCTCGACCACCCCATCCACCCATAAACCCCCTAACACCAACCACCCCAGCCACCACGAACTACCCCAACCACCACGAAATATCGCCGCCCACGAACTCCTGCCACCCCGAAATACCGCCAATCTCCAACCGTCGGCACCCCCTGTCCCACCAAAATCGACAAAAACAGCACACCACGTAAAACCGGCCATTGGACCCCTTCCCTCATTCTCCTTCCCCGAAACCTCCTTTCAACCACTCAGAAATTGAAACCCGCCGCGACATCCACTGCCCAGAAATTCGCCGCTTAGAAATCTACATCCTATGAATCGAACGCCCAGAAATCCAGTGGTTGATTTCGATGAAAATTAAAACCGCACCATCACCAAAATCGACCATGGATCACCAAAATCGACCGTTACAGGCCGGGCTTATTTGGTCAATTTCGGTCATTTTGTGGTGAGGGTATAGGTGCTTGAAGGGGTTAGGCCGGTGATTTGGTTGAGCTCGTGCTGCGGCAAGAGGAGCTTCGGCAGGGGAGGTGGTCGAAGGGGTTTTTTATTTTATTTTTTTAATTATCTTTTTTTAAAAAAAAATATTTTTAAAAAAGAAAGCCAATAAGAAGGTGACACATGTTAAATCACCTTCTTAAATAGGTCATTAATTTGACAAACCGGTAAAAGGCTCATTTTGAGAAGATGGGGGTCAAAGGTGGAATTATTTTGGGAATTCGAAAAAGGTGAGATTGTTTTGAGCAGAAGTGACAAAGGTGGGATTATTAGTTTACAATTTTCCTATTGAAATTATGATGCTCACATGGATTACCAATGTGCCTCTCATGCCTTATCGGACTTGTGCATGCCCGATCAACGTTTGTGCTATATCGGCCCATGCCTAGATCCAGTTTAAATCATTTTATAATAATTTCGATTTAACATAAATAAAAAATACTGACTTGAGAGTTTATCTTTGTGAAGTATATTGGGTTGGGTCTTGGGTGAGCGTAGAGCCATAGTCGCATAATTTTATTTATTTATTTTTTTATTAACTTGCATGTGAGTAAAAAAAAATAAATAAATAAAAAAAAAAAAAAAACTCGTGGATAAATAAGAGTTAAGTGTAGCAAAGCGCTGGTTTGGTATTTAACTAGTAAATGATTTATAGCTAGTTCTATTAGCTTATTTAATTAACTTTCATTAACTTGTTCTATTAATTAATTTTGCTAGCAGGTTGTATACTTGTATAAAAGTATTTGATAAATATTTACTTGTAATTTTTAACTAGATGAAACCCGTGCAATGCACGGTTTGTCTGAATTTAAAAAAAAAATATTTATTTTTTATTTTATGTATGTGCTAACATTTGTTATATAGTAAGATAAAATTCATAATATGAAAAGACAATATTTTATATTTAATAAATTTAAACTTAAAAATCTCATTCGCCAATTTTTCTTACGTGACATTTGAATTATTTAGTTTTAAAAGAAATTAATAATCTCGTATTTTATTGGCTACAACTAAAATTTTTAATCCTACGTGGCGCGTTTAGAAAATTAAATCCTACATGGCTCTCTAAAAATTCGGAAAAAAACTCCCCTTTATATATACTAGATGAAGCCCGTGCGATGCACGGTTTGTTGGTATTTTTTTAAAAAATATTTTCATATCGAAAAATATTGTGTAGAACGGACTCATGTGAGTCCGTTCTATTTACTGGCCCGCGCTCGGCCCATTTATTAAAGATTAGCCCGCGCACGGCCCGAACCTAGCTTAAATAGCTCTTTTTTTTCATCGTTCCGCCTTCCTCCTTCTTCTTCTCAACCACGTTTTCTGCATTTCCACTCCATTTTTAACAGTTACACTCCATTACTATCGACTTAATTTCACGTTTCCGACTAATTCGCATAACTACTTCGTTTTCTAGCTTTAATTTCACTCTATTACTATCGACTTAATTTTTACTTCTTTATAAACCCTAACATTCTTCATTTTCGACTCAATTAATGTCGTCGATTAAAGATTCTTCTCCCTTAAAAGTTTATCATAAACGAAGTAAACAAGCTCGAAAAAAAGAGAATACAGTTGCAATGGCTGAAAGGTTTATTATACTTAGTTATTTTTTAGGTTATACTTCAGTTATTTTTTTTAACAATCATTTTTATAATTTATTATTCCGTTTTGTAGGGTCGATTCAGAACCACCATTGAAGAAGCGTGGTCCTAAACCTGGGCCTAAACGAAGTCAACCTGTTAGGTGTGAAATTGTATTTTATTTATTTCGCAAAAAGACATAGCATTTTGTATTTGTTGTTTCATGTTGAATACTTGTATATTTTCTTGGGAAATAAACACACATATGTGGTTATTATATTGTATTTTGGTAATAGATTATATTTATCAGGATTATCTTTTGTTGTTTTGCCCTTTGTTATGGAAATGGTTGTTTCAATAGTCAAAATGCTATATTATGATGTGAATGTTTATGATTTTTGCATTTTTAAGTCAGGAATAAGATTATTATTTTCAAGAATTATATTTTATTAGCCAGGAATTGGGATTGTGTAGTCAGATATTAGATAGTGTGCTTAAGGAATTGGTGTATTCAAGTCAGACATATATTTCTAAAAGTTAGAAATTATCAAGTTTTAGTTAGATATTAGCAAATTTATATCAGGAATTGATCTAGGTTTATCAGTAATAAAAAAATAAAATACTCAATTGATGATGTCAATAGTTACAGTTTGGTATTTAAAAATTTGAAGCCAGAAATAAGATTATTATAATCAGGAATTAGTTTGCTTTCTTCATATATTAGACAATTTAATTAAGTTCTTTTTCTATTCTGGTCTAGCATAACATTCTAAATTTCAGGAATTAGCAAGTTCAAGACAGAAATAAGATTAATATAATCAGGAATTAAATATTATTAGTCAGGAATTAGAATGGTAAGAAAATAAATCTCATGCTTTGGTTAATTTTATTCAGGAATAACAATTTAAATGTCAGCATTTAGCACGTTTTAGTCAGATATTAAATTAATTTTGTCAGTTATTAGTCTTTTATTTTACTCAGAGTGGTTCTCAGTACTTTGTGATTTGCTTAAAGATTTTTATCTTAAATATATGTTTTAAAAATCTCTCAATTTTAATGTGATTTTTTACTTTTCAAACTTTCAGAATTCTTATTGAAGATGATATCGAAGACTTAGAGCTTGGTAATAAATCTGGTCCTAATCATCTTTGTCAAATCATGGAAGATTTAAGTGATCAGCAAAAAAAGAATGTGAAAGATATTGGGTTTGGTGGGTTGCTTAATATGAACTTGAAGGATAATATCAGTCACCAGTTGTATGGTTATATGGTAACTCATTATAATCCTAAGGCAAGAAATCTGATTGTTGGTAAAAAAGAACATGCCATTCATATTGACAGTTCTGATATTGCTGATGTTTTGGGCATTCCTTTTACTGATATACCTGTAAAAGAGATTTCTAAAAACAAAAAAAGGTTTTAATCTTGATGATTATTTGAAATCAGAGTGGAGGAAATTTTTAGGTTTGGATGGAGAAGAAGATTTGGAAAAAGAAAATGAATCTAAAAGTAACAAAATAAAGAAGAGGAAAACTGGTGATGAATCTGAAAAAGGTATTGAAAGCAAGAAGAAGGAATCTGAAAGACTAGCTCAAACTAAGAAGAAGAAGACGTATGTTAATTTTCTTACTTATCAATCATTGTTTGAGAAATATAGGGTGGAGGTTATGAATTTAAGAGACTCTTTGTTATGTTTGCTGTTTCTAATTTTTTGGCTCCAATTGGTGAAAGTCCCCTAATTTTAACATCATAAAGTCTTTGGAAGATGTACGTTTCATAAAGACTTACAACTGGGCTTGTTATGTGATAGATTGGTTATGTACATCTATAGCAGAGTTTCAGTCCTTTGTTTTGAAGAAGAAGGAAGGACAAGAATTGAAAAATTAATCAAAACAAGTAAATGGTTGTTTGGTTGCCTTTATAATTGATTTTTTGCAAAAGTTTGAGTTTGGGACCACTTTAGATAGGAAGCCATTTGTAATGAATTGGTCATGTGAATCTCTGAATGAGCGGATTAAAGCGGTTACTGAAAATATTGATTATGGTTCTGTGAAATTGTATCCTCAGACATTACCATTACAGTATGCTGGCAAAAGTGAACAGGAGATTCTTAAATCTTTTCAGCTGGATAACATTGAGTTTAAACTTGAAGATACTAATGATGATGAAGATTCTGGTAAAAATAAGGATGGTCAGGGTTTACAATCTGCCCCAATTGAGTTCAAAGCTGATGATGACAAAGCTAGATATGACATGTACAAAATTCCTAAAGAATACCCAACTGATGATGAGATTGATAAAATGGATATTGATGTAAGTTTAAAATCTCATTTTTTTTATTAATTTATTAAAGCTTTTAATTCAAGAGTTCA